TAGACTGTCCAAATTCATGTGTTTTCAGGTTAAAAGAACTCCTAAGAATAAAGTTAATAGAATGTGGATGGAGAGATCAACTAAAAGATCACTGTCAGTATAGTTCCACATTAATATAGGCACCCCTGGGAAGGGTCTGTTCGTTTATTATGTGGGGGGGGGGCTGGTGTTTTTTGTGGGGGGGTAAATTTTATGAAAATTGTTTTTTTGGGGAGTAGAATTTGATTTTGAAAGTTTATTTAAGGGGGGGCATTTTTTTAAATGAGGGGAAAATGTAAATTAGAAAGAACAGCAACAAAGCACAACTGAAAAGAAAAGAAATTGAAAACAAAATCGTAAAATCAATATAACAAAATATATATTCTATGGGTTTGTTTGATCTGGGGCTCCTAAGTTGGATTTGGTGTTCCTGTGTTGGATTTGGGATTCCTGTGGTGCCCAAATCCAATATGGCGGCYAATGTRAATAGTGATGGCATTCAGAATTTCCTCAAACAAGCAGATCTTGAAAGTCGAGAGACTGTAAAGAACTTCTAATAAATTTTCTCTTTAGGGATTTGTTTCTGACCTCTGACGGTTTTTCTTGCCAATTAAGTGATGTTAGCTTCTTTCATGACTTTTGAATTCGCCATCTTGAAAAAGGGTAACCTGGCGATTCTTCTTTAGGAAGGAGACTGGTACTCAAGTTTTGCTGTGGGGAGGGGTGGGGGTAAGAATTATGTCTGAGGAGGGAGGGAGAGGGGTAAATTTATAAAGACTTTATTTTTGAGGGGGTAACTTTAAAAACAATACTTTCTATGAAAACCACCAGACCCCCCTGTGACATAATAAACGGACAGTCACTAAAACACCCAGTTATCTTTGCAGAATACCGTAAACCTCTGAAAGTAAACGATTCCAAATTTAAGCCCTATCCAAAATAAGTTTAGCTCAAAAACCCCTGAAAAATCTACAAGATTTTATTGAAGAACCATACCCGTTTTGAGCTTGAACAGGGCAAAACCCTCAAATTTGGCATGGGACTCTATTTTTTAATAGCTCATTCAAAAAAAACTCCTAAAAATCTAGGTTATATCAACATTTTAGGAAATGTTTAAATCAGTAACATAAAAAATATATTTTTGTAGGGATTTTTTTTTGACTTCATGAGATTATTTAAGAGCTCCGAAACTACAAGATGTGACAAATCAATGTATCTCTTTCTCTTTTTGTCGAAAATATCCATGTATTATTGTAGAATGATTGACTAGCCTTCATTTTCCTGAAATAACTATTATTTTATGAATCTTAATTTTTCTCTAATCACTTCCGGTGGCACAATTTTTACTCCAAAAACTTGTGCGTAGGCTTCCATTAAATGCTGATTATCTCGAAAACGAGCTTGGGACATCCTATGTATTTTTCTTTCCAGAATTGGAATCAGCATTAAATTTCAATTCGGAAAATTGAAGTTTAAAAAAAAAGTTTAAATCAATTTCCAAAAGTAGGCAGTCACCTTAATGATTTTTAGCACGTCCATATTCCACTATATTATCCGCTAAGTTTGTTAGTGTATTAAACTATTAATTGTACATCTACTTTAAATAAATTCTTTATTATTATTATTCATTAGCGTATCTTTAATAAGATCGGGGGAAAATCTTCAATTATTTTTTATTSGAGATGAAGATAATTTCTCCCATAATAAAAACCATGCATTGAAATCAAATCGAAATGCACTACATCGTTTTGCTATTTTTACGCGAGTATACTCTCCCACTTAGGAATTTTGTACACAACTCACCACCACCCCCAGGGGCTAGTTTTGTTCTTGAAAGATTCTTTGACAAACTTTTCTAAAGCCGACAGTTTTAGGCTTTGAATCTCTTTTACTTAAAAAAATGAAAGATAACTACAGATAATCCAATACAATATCAAGTTTAGCGAAATATACCTCGGATGTCTTTCTTTGAAATCGAAATTCTGGAGATTTAGGACAAATCAAGACTGAAAAACAGACTTGAAAGCTGGTTAAGGCGAACAGAAAATAAGCTTATTTAATTACATCTTTAACAGAACGAGACGAAGTTGACAAGAACAACTGAGACAAAATAGAAAATAATGCAAAAGGCAATGCAAAATACAAAATGACGAATTTCTTTGTCAGTAAATTGGCGTTCGTAAATGTTTTAAGATTTTTTTGCTTTTTAAAGTGAATGCTCTAATGCTTAATTCTACCACTATTCCCCCAGGTCTTTCACCTCATCTCCCCGAATATAGCCCGGGGTCCCCTACCCCCCCCCCCTCCCCCCACTCGTGGAAGGCGATGACAAGTACATTAGGTACTGCCTAAAAGCGGAGTTCCTAATATGCAAGTCAAAGGGAGCCCAATTTTAATGAATCTGTAAATCTGGGGGGAAATCTTGGATTTTTTTATTCAAGACTAAGATAATGTATCAATTGAAATACACTACATCATTTTCTTTGCGTGAGTATACTCTCCCACTTAGGAATTTTGTACGCAACCTCACCACCACCCCCAGGGGCTAGTTTTGTTCCTGGGAGATTCTTTGACAAAGTTTTCCATGCCAATATTTTAAGCTCTGAATTCCTGGTTAACTTTACTTAAAAAAGAAAGAGAACTACAGATAATCCAATACAATATCAGGTTTAGTAAAATTTACCTTGGATGCCTTTCATCGAAATCGAAATTTTGGAGATTCCCAGATTTTTTAGGAAAAATCAAGACTATAAGTTTAAAACAGACTTGAAAACTGGTCAAAAAAGGTGAGCAAAAAATAAGCCTAGATATGTCTTGTACATAACGATGTTTGGTTTTCCGTAGGAATTTTTATGTTTTTATAGGACTGTAATTTTACCCAGTTGAAAATAAAAAAATAAATGCTTTGGTAGCATCATCAGATAGAAAATTGGCTTGAGATCATTAACTAAAACTAAACTTTATGAAGGCCCTGAACATGTTATCAGTTGATAGAAAATGTCCTAACCTTTATCTTCATGCTTTGGCAAATTCTTTTCTTCCATAATTTTTTCCATACTTTTTTGTTTCGTTTTTACAATTTTTTGAAATTTTCACACAAATAAAAAAGTTTAAAAGCTCGTGAAACAAAATCGTCATGGTCCAAGTGACGCATGATTTGAAATCTCGACCCATCAGAAATGTGTGGTACACCAGGAGGGTGACACTTTTAGCATTACGCACAAGGTTCCCTTGCGATGACCACGAAAACTGAGTTGGATAGTTTATCACATTTCTATACCTACATGTATGGTACAATACTCCACTCATGTGGTGTTTGTGCAACAAAGGCCCGTGCAGGAGCTACGCTATGATACTAATAATTGTAGAATAACAATATAGCCATGATGGACAAGATAGTACAGATATTAGTACATTTTGCCGTTAAGCTGTATAATTTTTGTAGGATGACATCAAAATTATAAGCACATCTTATGCATTTTCATACTTTAATGAACTAGACACCTTATATGGTAAAACCAAACAGCTTTGCATTGAAGTGTGACGGTTTAACATACAAAATCCTGTGCATAGAAGTATGCAAATACATTATCGGCAGTCATACTCATGCACATTGCCCTGTAAGATAAGAAATGTTTCAACTATGCTAAGAATCCAGGACTATCATACAGTATCATGTAGTTTATGTAATGTTTAATAAACGAGCGGGGATAGTCGTGGGTGCTTGGCTGAACAGAAGACTAATAGCACCCAGTAATCTGGTGCTGGAGGTGGGATTATCCTGTAAGCTTCTAAAATAGATGGACATTTGGATATTTGAAAAATTATGTAAAGCTGATATAATAGCACTACTGTAGGTGGCTTGAGATTTAAAAAATAAATAGCATTCATTAGCAAGCTACCTGAAGTTTTTGTGGAATTTTCCATGATACATACGGAAGGAATTCATGACAAAGAAATAATCTGATGAATCTCATAATTTTCAAACCATAAAACATTGAGGAAGATTTTACTGAAGAGGCTCCTGCAACCCTGCTCATTGAGTGCTTTGGGTTCGCAATTCATTGAAGGAAAAGTAAAATGAGTTAAATTTTAAAAATTAAAAATTTACAAATTATCATTTTTCAGAAATTATCAAACAGAAAGGCTTGGATAACATCACAGTAGAAGACCTTGTCAAGAAAATCACTCCAAAAGGAAGAGGTTAGTCAAAATATTACTAATATTATGAGAAATGGACATTTTGCACCTCAGTAAACAATTTGTATATGTAATAGGACTCCATGCTGTCCAATTAAGAAATAATTTGAAGAGGAAAATTCTGAGGACTGACAAAATTGGATGAGGCCATAGGCCAAGTCCAATTTGGCAGTCAGAGGAATTTTGGAGTCTAATTATTTCTTGATTGGGGAGCATGAAATCCCATWACCTATTAATTATATAGCTGCCTAATTAATCCCATATCAACAAGACCTGTCCAATTAAGATAATAATTGGACAGTTACCTATATGGGATTAATGAGAAGCTGTATAATTAATTCAGCTAATGTTCCCTTGGAGGAAGGCTGTGCTGGATAAATTGGCAGTACTAGCCATTCCAATGCCTTTGTTTTAGAGGGTGACACGTGGTAGTCAACTCAGCATTGATAAATTTGCTAATTTACTCTCTCTGAGTGAGACAAGACTGCCATTTTACGTGGTCATCCAAGCCATGGCAAAGGTCTCACCATCTGCATATATTTTTAGAGCAAAGGCAGCATCATCTACTCAGATATTTTAAAGACTCTGAGTGTATTCAGACCGCTGCCCAACCAGCTTACCTAACCACAATGCAGTAGTCATTGCAGACAGTTTTAGGGAATGAAATACAAACCATCTTGGATATACATGCTTTATGTTTGCTAAAACAGTCCCACAATGCACTGCAATGCCAAGTCAACCCAAATGTTTTCTCAATCTTGAAATGGGTACTAGATCGATTTCACTGATGTCATAGCAAAATGTTTTGGGCCTTATATTGAAGATAATATTTTCAAGGTTTCCAAGATATTTTGCTGTAATGAAGTAGAAAATGGGTTTTGAAAACATTTGAATGACGTCATAATAAGAACAATGCCCATAAAGGTCCTTAATAGTAATGTGCATCAAATCAAAATCATTCATTATTAATTAAAGAAATCAAAAATGTACCATATGAAAGGTATTTCCCAAATTTTTTGGCCTTAGAAAATGCGTTACACTGTTGCACGACAAAGATGGACAATTATTCAAAACCTGAGCATTGGAGATGCACAAAATATTTTTTGAAGACTTTTCTTGGTCAAAATATCAAGTTTGTTCTTTGAAATTCTTTTTCATCCAGTTAAAGTCGTGTGACAAAAAGATTTTTCATAGTCCTTATTACTGGGGTACCTGGGGTACAGCCTGTTAGAATATATCATCCTGAATGATATATTCTAACAGGCTGTTTGCATACAACTTTTGTCATATGCTACCACCATCGGAATTTCTATCACTTTCTTTAGTCTGGTCATAGTCAATTAACTATGGTCTGGTTGCACAAAACCTTCCCTGCTAACAGAGTCTCTCTTCTCTTTCTCTCCCTTCTTTCAGGCGGGGAGTTAGACTCTGCCGATATAGAGCGTTTCCTTTGACACACTGCCGTCCACGATCGTGGACGAACAAGACCAGTTTTAAAACTGGTTTTTAACCGATTACATGTAGTGCGCATGAGCAAATGTAACACACCGTGGCGCCAAACATTGTTTGCTGAGAGCGGCTGTCAAAATCATGACAGCGTTGCTAAGTTACGCCACGCATGCGCGACAGAAATAACGTTCTACATCGGCAGAATCTATTTTTCTCTCTCAACCAAAACAAAAGGAAAATAGGCTCTGCTAGCAGGGAATATAAAACCAAGCATGAATGCAATCGTTTTCCTATCTTAATGGGGGTAGTAATTTGAGCTGATAAATTAAAACTTGGGAAGCATTTTGGTGTACATAGTAGAGAAAATCACACTTGTGGCAGTTGATCTTGTACACCACACTTACTCTTCGTTTGTTTTGTTTCTAGCTTTAGTGCCAGATGAAGTGAAAAGAGAATTGCTGCAGAATATAAGAAACTTTCTAGCTGAGAGACAATAAACATGAAAAGATTTGATAGTCATACTAGTTTTGTATTTATAAACTCAGGGCAAATCTATGTTTAAACTCATCACACGTAGATGAGCTTGGCGTTGGTGCTTGGGTGGGAGGAGCCTCGGGAACTCGGCGGAGGTCAGCGGTTACTATGGCAACCCTGTCACCTCCCACCTAGCACCGTCACACTGACTTGGCAGTGGAATACTTACCTATACTTACCTTAGTGGAGGGTGGGTGGGAAAA